TGTTCAGTTAACCCTTTAACTCCCCTGTTCATTTTCTTTAAATTAGTTACAAGAATCTGGTAGTATCAGGTCAAGATAACAACTTTGAGTATTCTCTTTAATGGATAATGTTTGGATATTATAATTACCTGTATCACAGTCTGTTACTTTTTTTCTGGTACAATTGTTACTTTAAATTTGTAAACTAAACTGACATGTACCTACAGGTAAAGTGTAAAACTACAGATTGGAGCTTTTCTAGAGCAATATTCACAAAATTGTTTTCAATATGTTTATGAGTGTCCTGTGATTTTGTGGCTTAAACATTTTTACTCTAAAGGTTATATGTATTTTTGGTGGCCAATGACCTGTAAACAACTCTTGTATAATTTGAGGGTAAATATGTTAACTTCAGTTGTTAAGATTCAAGTGTTGAGGGTCATGTCTCAAACGTATCTGACCATTCACATTACCATGGTATTTGCTGGTTGCACAATTGTGTGTTTGGTTGCTCAATATCAGAAAAAAATGGCCAAAAATTGTATTATTTATGGAATTGTTTACTGATTTGAAGAGTGCAGTTTTGGAGTGGTGTATGTTACACAATACTTTTCATTTGACATTCCTTAGAATGCACAAATTCCAATCATTTAAATTGATTAGAGAGCCTTATCTCTTAGAGTTGAAAATTGTTTTTTTTAAGGAACAATTTCATAAAATCACGCACTCAATCTTGGTTAAATTTCACTGTATGGAAGCCAAAACCTGATAAAAATCTAAAACATATGTTTTTCATCAGTGATTAAACAAACCACCCAAAAGACATGATCAACTTTGCAATTATCTGCTTCTCTGTGGTAATATTTTGATAGATATTACGGGACTATTTTATAGAGCATCTCAATTAGGCTAAAACTCTTGACTTCAAGAAAATTTTCATGAAAAACAACACTTGCCCTTTTTTCCTCTCGATCATCCATTAAAAAAACAACAACAACAACTCCACGCAAGACAAAAACAAAAAAACCAAACTTGAAATTTTAATATGAAAACAGCTACTACCTTCATTGATAACCTCTGAACTTAAAGAAAGTCAAAATGTAAAGGAATGAAGATAAATATTTCCTTCTCAGATTAATAATCAAAAAATCATTTTGGAAGTATCACAGCTTCTTCAGAGCAACAAGCTGTTTAAGTTTAGAAAAAAACAAAAAGAACTCCTGCATTGATAAGCAATTCAAAATTTCAACCTGGCACAGCTATGAGAAAAAACTTTGCATTGAAACATGTATGAACATGCACAACATGCACTAAGATAACCTTTGTTTTAAATGATCTTGCTAAACATTGTATACAAATGAACAAATTGACTACATATGAATAAAAAGTCTTAACCCTTTGCACCCTAACATCAGTATGCATATTCTCCTTACTGTTCTCTATACATTTTCTAAGTTGCTGGCAAGGAGAATTTGTCTAACAATCAAGAGATTCTTCAATTGATTATCATTTCCTTTATTCTCATGACCTAAATGTTTGATTCAAGGATGATATTGAAAGGAGAAATTAGATGCTGGTCACTCTTAGGGATTAAAGGGTCGAAGAAGGGCAGCAAAAGTAATAAAAAGTAAAAAAAAAGAACAATCTGGGGATAGCAGTAAACACATACAGTTCATATACTTTAGTATGTATGAGAGAACATCAGAAGTGGGAATCCAAAGGTTGTAGTTTCAACTCTGAGAATTCAGAGTGCTTTCAGTCTGAGTATGAATGCAATGATGAATACATCATCTTTCACATAAATGAGTGTTCCTGTAATCTGGAACATTTTAAAACTAGGAATCAAATGAGTATAAAATTGTTACAGGGTGAGGTCATGTTACAATGATATTGTGCACATCATTTATTTCATTCTTTGTGCTAAAAAACAGCATTAGTAGGGGCTGGACAAAAATTGGGACATAGTCCTGTCTCCCCCTCCAGTTGCTATTTGTTATTTATTGGGAAGAATTCAAAGTTACTTGTTTTCTATTGCAATAGCACTGAGTGGTGTGCAATGAAAATGCATGACCTATAAGTAATTCATTTTATTCTTTCAAAAGTAATAACAAGTTGAAGTATAACTTGCATTGTTAAAAAAAATGAAAAGGTAATGGGCATCACACAACAAAAAGCTTGAACTTGTCTCTCCCTATTGTATCCATACATAATTCTGTAAACAGGTAATGAGAATACTCAGACTTATCAGTTACAGTTGTCTTCTTGATCTAACACCAAATCCTGGTAACTACAACTGTAATTTAAAAGGGAATGTGTAGCAGCAAGAGGGGAGAATTAACAATCACATCTTAGGAGTTAAAGGGTAAACTGCTATGTACATATATTGGAGGATTTGATCCTTTTAGCAAGCAACACTTTCACCTTTACCTGTAACCTTTTGACTCCCAAGATCTCATTCATAATTCTCCTTACTGTCTGCCATATAGTTCTTCTGAAGTTAGTTTGGGGAATTTGGTTATGGATCAAGAAATAATCACTAATTAAGATTTTTCTTATTCTCATCATGTGTCTGCTTGATATTGTATTGATATTGTAAGGAGAAATTCTGTCTTGGTCACTCATGGGAGTTAAAGGGTTAACCCCCTGTTACAATCCAGTATCCCAAGTTATCTTGTGTTTTACTTTGATGATCTCAGAGTTAGTCTTCACTTTATATTGAAAAATATAATATATAAATATATTGTACTTACAAGGATTAGTAACCCTTTTTTGAAATGATTTTTACCCAGTAAATCATTTTTTTTTCTTTGTTTAGACTGGCATCATCATTGTTGACAACTGTAAACTTGCAGTGGTAATGAATTTTGGGACCAAAGCAGCCTCCATGCCATGTGCCGCAGCACAGCAGCTTCAAATTGAAGATGAATCTGAAAATTACAGGTACATTTTTATGTAAATGCACACCATCAGGAAAGACCCAAGGATTAGGGGAAGTGGCTGAGTGCTTAGGGTGCTGGCCAGCTGCTTAGGGCACTTGCTAAGTGCTTAGGGACTTGTAATCCAGTGGTCCCAGGTTGTAGTTCTCCACTCTGCTACTCGCTGGATTTGTTTTCAGTTGCACTGACTTCCACTTGTTGGCTTTGCTCTGTTAAAAGCCAATTTGGCTGCCTTTTACTAGTTGGGGTTCTTAAAAACTGTGTTGATGTTCATTTACTATGTTTATATCCGATTTTGTTTGAATTAATTACTTCTAAAATTTGCAAGCAAATTAAGAATAGAGAAATATGTCATATGGCTAATTATTATTATTATTATTATTTGTTATTATGGTTATTATTAATTATTATTATTATTATCATTATCATCAGAAGTTTAGGTATTTATAAGCAGGTCAGTATATGCAATAATTTTAGTATTTAGATGTATTTGACATGTTCTAGACCCCAAGCAGTGATTTTTTTGTCAGATTACTTATGTCAAACTGCTGTTGGAGCTCTCATTTTTGGGAGTCAAAGGGTCAACTGTAATCTTGAGGGTTAGAATTTCCTGATCAGTGCGCTTTGATCACAAGTGTACACTTTTTGCACTACTTGTCCTATACATAATTCTAGATATCTACTTACTTTTTAAATTCTCAAAATCGTGTATGGAATGTTGTTGTGATGAGAATAAATAGCGAACTGCAAATAGTAACACTGTGATCCTTTTTTTTTTGTTTTTTTGTTTTTTTTTAATAGCTCATTGGATCTAACAGGCCCTCTTCTTCTCGGTGGGCTTATGCAGCTACCAGTTAAATTCCCAGTCCTCTACAAACATTTTACTGGCTGCATCAGGAATGCTTACATCGATCACAAGTTCTTGGACCTCAGTCACCCATTGTACAACAACGGAACCAGTGCTTAATGTAAAGCAATGGGCAACACGTGCGCATATAAACCTTGCGAGCGAGGCTTTAACATACTTGGTTCTCGCCGGTGTGACTGCCCCACTGGGTTTGATGGAAGTCGCTGTGAAACAGGTATTGAATTTTTCTTTACGGATATGTAAGTGAACTTTCCTTTGGCACTTACTTTAGTTTGAAGCGTTCGCACGATTTTTTTATTCGAAATTGCATGCGATTTTTTGCGCGTTTAATTCGCGTTTTTCGGTTAACGTATACGCGAGCGGTACTGTAAGATGCAGACAACAGTTCATGAGTTGTGCGTGATTATAGACACCTTATGAGCATTTAAATTTATGCGGTTCCTTGTTATGAGAAATATATCGTTGAGTTTATCTGAGTCAGTGGATCTTCAATTAATAAATGCACGTACTTAATCACCGGTATTTTCGCCTTGAATTATCGAGCCATACTAGATTTTGACCCGAAAGTTCTGAGAAAAGAGCGAAAAATCAGTTTTACTGTACATCTGACGAAGATCTGCCGGTTTCAAAAACCCTGTGAACAATCCTCAGAGTTGAAAGATTCCCTTCCTTAACGTTAAGGGCCGAGTTCCTCAAATACTGTCTTCTGTTGTGTCAGCAATTTCTGTTTCTTAACCCTTTCACTGCCAAGATATCATTGTTAATTCTCCTTACTGTCTGTCATACAATTCTTATGATGTTAGTTCTGAGAATTTAATATTGGATCAATTGATAATTCCTTAATTGATATTTTTCTTTATTCTCGTCGCTGGTCTGCTTGTCTACAATTCTTACAATATTAGTTTAGAGAATTTAGTATTGGATCAGCTAGCTATCCCCGAATTGATGTTTTTCTTTATTCTCATTGCTTATCTGGTTGATATTGTATTAATTTTGTAAGGAGAAATACTGTCTTGGTCACTCATGGGAATTTAAGGGTTAAATTGGAGAGAAATTATCCAGGACTCCAGTTAGCGTTGATTTTCTGGGAGTCACGTTACCCTAAAATACCCCAACTAAGGAGAACGTCAATTTCTTATCACGAGTTCTTATATGGAAACCATTCATACAAACTTCCTTGTTCAACAGGTGTGAAATACACTGAGAGATTCTCAGGACAGAGTTTTAAGAGGGTGTCAGCCAACTCAAAGGTCAATCTTCCGTGGAGTGTTTCAATGAGATTCCGAACAGCCAAGCCTTCAGGAACTCTGCTTGAAACCTCTTTTTCGTCATCATCTTCGGTGTCGGAGGTAAGTTATGTAAATCAAGGTACATGTTTTAAAAGTCATTGAACGTTCTTATACTTACGTGAACTTCGTTGCTATTTCAGTTGGTTGATGGTAAACTGTAATACAACTACAAAGGGCTGTTGGTTCTCCAATTGCCTCACATAGCGGTGAATGATACCCAGTGGCATCACATCGAGATCCTCTGGACAGATTCTTCCCTTAACATAACAATGGACTACATCTGCAAAGTCTCTGCAAATGCATCCAGTGGAAAACACCTTGGAGTTGTCAGACAGTTTTTCATGGGAGCGAGGAAGAATTCTACCAAGTCTGCAGTGTATGGTGGATTTAGAGGCTGTATACAAGGTATGCTTTTCTAAACAAATTCCTCTAGTTAAACTGTAGGCTTATGTTTCTGTAGCCTGTTCCAGGTATTAAATTAGTAGCAATGCACTGATTTTCCGAAGCTTGGAGGAAAAGATAGTTGTTTATGAGTATAGGTAATAACACGATTTCGAGTGCAATTTGGTGTTAATACGCTCGAGTAAATTTTTCAGTACCACAAAATTGCACTAGCTGTAGGGCGAGTGAAGTTTGTAGTCTTTGAAAAATTTATAAGTACTTATTACACTAAATTGCAAGATAAATCGTGTTATTACTTGTTAATAATTTACATGAAAAAACATCACAGAAAGGCAAGACAGACTAAACGTTAGGTTTGGAGCGTTAGTGTGAGTGCGTATGTGCGTGCGCACGTGCGTGTGCGAGCAGGTGCGTACAAGCGCGTGCATGTGTGTTCGTGCGTGCTTGTTTATGTAGTAAGGGCTGAAACTGTGCTATTGGAGTGAGCATGGCAATAGTGGATGTATGAATATTAGGCCATTTCCGACTCCTTTTTCGTGAAAATAGCTTCGTTTGCAAAATAATTTATTTTCCTATGAGAAGTATCGTATCTGGGCTCGTTTTAAAACAGAGGCTGAGGCCTCTCGGAAATGGTCCAACTCGGTTACCCGTTTATATGAGGAGACACTAACCTCCCTCTTTCCCTATCCGTAGGGGTTTTTGTCGGGAGCACTGAGATCAACATGAACTCTGGAGTCAATCACAAAACAGCATCCATCTGGTTGTGAAGAGAAAATGAGAAGCCACTGCTCATCGAACCCTTGTCCAGACTACAGCACATGCCAAGAGGAATTCGACTCCTACAAATGCATATGTCCCGTAGGTTACGGTGATAAACATTGCGTGCGCGTATGTTCTCTTAAGCCGTGCCGACATGGCAAATGTGAAAGTTCAAACCATGGAAAGGGATTCCGATGTGTTTGTCTTCAACAGTACACTGGTAAGTGGATTTTTTTTTTTTCATTTTTTATCTTATTTTATTTTTTTTCATTTAAAGTTATTCCCTATTGGACATTTGTGGGTACCATTTTAATGCAAACAAAGTTGTTATAAATGAAATAAATGAGTAAATAAATAGCGAATAATACATGGGCGCGCGTAGATATGGAATTTCCCTTCGAGAGTTTAACTCGATAGCTCACGATTTTGGTGTTTGAGGACAATCTCGAAGGATCTTTTTACAATAGGGTCAAATGTGAGACATGTTTAACTCTCAATGATCTCTACAGCGAAACCATGACGACGTGCGATCAATATGCAAATTCCTAGCTGTGTTAAAAGGCACGACTAATGCACGAGTAATGCAAAGCCGCAAAATCACTCCAGGGCGAGTAAACAAATAAAAAAAATCTTAATGATTTGCGGGCGAACTGGTACTGGTGATTTGGCGCGAACTTGCTGTGGGGCGAATTCACCAGTTAACCATATGCAACGCAAATCTCTCACTTAAGATTCACTTAAACTTAGAGCTTTAATGTTTTGTATAATTTCTTAAGGGAATTTTGTGAGGTCCGCATGGAGATACCCTGTCGAGATAAGTACTTTGGTGCTTCAAGTATAGGCGTCTGTGGTCCGTGTAAATGTGAAGTGGGGAATGAATCTGAGTCCAGTTTGTAACAAGTCTACAGGAGAGTGCTACTGTAATGTAAGTACCACATGGAAGAAGCTTATCAGATGAACTTTATTTAAACCGTGGAAAGTTTCGAGAGTCTAAACCAGGGGAAAAAAATCAGAGCAGTTTCTGTTTTTCTCTAAGAAGTCAGGAGAACGAGGGAAACGCTTGCACCTCAAGCAACGATCCCATCATGCCTAGCTCTTAACTCTTTGACTCCTAAGAATGACTAGCATTTAATTTCTCCCTGTGATATCATCCCTGAATCAAATATTACGGTCATGAGAATGAAGGAATTGATCACCAGTTAAGGAAGCTCTTGATAGTTTAACAAATTCTCCTTGTCAGGACCTTTGGAAAGGTAAAGAGAACAGTATAGAGATTATGCATACTGATCGTAGGGTGCATAGGGTTAACTGTACAAACATTGTCTGAACTTTTGCCACTTTCAGAGGCAGACCTCCTCGCGTGAGGAAGACCTGTTGAATCGGGAAACGCGTTCACTGCCTGATCTGTGTAAAAAGTTTTGGTGGCGGAGATAATAGTTTTATGGTGTCTAAATTTCCTATTTCTTGCCAAGTCACAAGAAACCCACGGTCAAGATGTGAAATTGTGACTAAAAGAACTGTTTCGAAATAATGGTTTGACACAATGTACAAATTTTTTAGGACGGGAAAATCCACTTTTAATTTAAATATGCGCTAGATGCAGCTGCGAATGTGCAAATGAAGTTTACTGGTCAGTTTTTTCACCCTGAAGAGTGACTAGCATCTAATTTCTCCTTACAATATCAGCCCTGAATGACACACTAAGGTCATGAGAATAATGGAAATGATCAACAACTACAGAAGCTCGGGATCGTTAGACCAATTCTCCTTGTCAGCGCTTTAAGAATTGTATAGAGAACAGTATGGAGAATATGCATACTGATGTTAAGGTGTAGAAGGTCAAAGAAAGTTTTGCCAGAAAACTCAACCAAGAGAGTAGTTTACGGATCAAAACCGACTTTTCGATCCGGAATCCCTTGCTCCTACAATTTCTGCGTCTCTCAAGAACAACAACTTAAGTAATTATTTGATATGATCCACAGGTCCTTCTTCAGTCAGCCAGTACGCTGTTTAGCTCCGATAACAACGATGTGTGGGAAGTCGTTCAACAGGTAATAATTATTGGATCAGTATCTGAGCAAGTCTGTACCTACCCCTCCCCTAACCCCAGAACAGTCAACCAATAACAAATTAGTGTTATTTTTGGGCTAGGGGAGGGGTAGGTGCGCAGTTGTGCAGGTCCTGATATAAATCTGAATTATTTTTGCTGTTATTTTATTTTTTTGCAAGTAATCCACGGTCGATTTGTCGCCGGTTTTTATTTCGCTATGCTCTCCAATTGGCTTGTGAAACTCACGCCCTTTCGGCCATTCGCATTACTGAAAACAGAAACCAATAACGAGTTTTTAACCGTGATCATCATACTTGTTCGGAAAGCGCGCTTCTACTAAGATATTTTCAGATGTCTGTGGTCATTCGTTGACTTGCACAAACTGTTGTCATGCGCAATCCGTAGCAAACGTGGGCAGACATTAGCTACCAAGACGCAATTATCAATGGCCGATCGTCACAAAAGAACACAAAATTTCTCCGAGAACGCAAAAAAAAGAACGAAAAATTTCGGCCGAGCATCACAAAGCACACAAAATTTCTCTTCAAATTCATTTGAATATTTTTCCTAGAAACACATGACCAGTGGATTGTGAGCTCCTTGTTTATACCGACACTAGCTCGGAGGCACTGGCAGTGAGGTCAAGAGTTTTGTAAGGCGATTTTTGGGAGCAGTAGATATCTTTATGTACACTTAACCCTACTATTACCTTCCGTTGGCCTTATAAGCCTCTTATCTTGACTGCTGTTTCTTTCAATTTGACAGCAATCCGCAGGGACAGCGGCTCTGTTAAAACAGATGGAAAACTTCAGCGGAAACTTAGCCAGAAGTCTACCGTACTTAAAACGAGACTCGCGCAGATACAGGCGCTCTACCGAAAGCATTTTGCCACCGTACACGATTATTACTCCCAATATTGGTAAGAAATATATTTTGTTGAGTTTGCTGTGTGTAACGGGGCTGTGTCGCATTTTGAGGTAATTTTAGTACTTACTTGTCGGGGAATTCCTCCGCTCTGTCTCATAAGTGATTGAAATGTTCCAAACAATATCACTGCATTTTTTGGAATTTAAAATTATGAAAAACGGATGATGTCAATAGAGATTTCTGATCATTTTGAGGATTTTATTTGTGGTGTTTGAGTTAAGAAGCGCACGATAGCTATGTCAGAGATTTATGAAATATTCCTAAACGGCATTCAACGCTAGAGAATATTTTAATGTTCCTGCAACAACACTTAATCCTGATCTTGATCCTGAACGTGCGCACGAATGATACTTAAAAGAAAGGTTTACATCAATCACCACCCCAACATGCGTAAAATTTTCCTGTCTTATATATGCGAAAATCGTAGAGGCCTATATTTTAGAATACCGTAACTGCGCCCTTTTTATGAGTTTTCCACAAACTATGGAAACTGTTTTGGATTAACCAAGCGGACGCTTTCGTTGTAAACAAACGGTTGCTTTCACTTGCTAATATCCACGCTTTGTTCTTCATAGTTATGGAACTTCATCCAGTGTATGTCAAAGGATTCTCTGGATTATCGTACCCCGCGAGAAGAGACCTTTACAGCGACTCTCCTTATAAAATTTGGCGTAATATCTCCAATAGAATTTACCTTCCTAAACCTTTCTTTCATGGAAAAGGTAAGTCGTGAATTTGACGTAACTTGCATAACAAGTACCTGGGTTTATGCTTGAGCACGGTTTTGCGGGTCGCCACTAGTCGAAAAAAATTGCCTCATAAAAGGGACGTTTAAATATCAAATGAGGCGCTAAAAATTGTGCCGAAGGATAACTCTATTTTGTAAGAACTATTTTATAAAGTATTCGCAGACATAACTGGCCAGAAGACTGATACGGCATCTGTTCTGTAAAACTCAGTTCGAGCTTAATAACCCTTTCCTTGGTAAAGGGCCTCCCTAAAACTAAAGAAGGGGGCCTGCCAGGCCTTCGTGGGTAGTTACTAGAATAAACCGTGAAACAGCAAAATTAATGCGCGTTTGGATTCCGCGCGCGCGCACGCGAGGATAAAAAGGATATTTAGGAGAGCTGGCAAACAATAGTAAAAAAGAGAGGCGGATTTGAACAATTTTAAGATTGTTTGAATATTTTTTTGCAATGATTATGATAATGTTGTGAGTGACAGCTCTTTAAGAGATCTAAATATTTTTTTATTTAATTTTGTTTCAGATGTGGAAGACAACATAGGAGTTGGCTTCATGATCATCAGAAATATCGGAGATTTATTACCCAAAGCGTTTGACGCGAAGACGCGGTATGTTACATGCACTAAATGCATCGAAAGTACGTTTGGATAGAATTTTTAAACAATTTTGGTTTTTCCCCCTAGTATTTAGAAGAGACTATTTCGTGGTTAGACTACGAGCAGTCCCTGCCTTGAAGCGAAGTCTGTCGCACGAGTTAAAAGAAATTGAGGAAAGAAAAGAAATTGATGTAAGCACACCACGTTGAATTTTGGGTGTGAGGGGCGATAACGTCTTTTTTTTCCCCACGGAATTTATTTTAATCGTGCGACGGACTGCACCGAGAAGAAGGGACTGCTGGTAGTGTATATTGTGGTTTGATTGAGAAATGGAATATGTGCTAGAAATAATTAAAAGCAGTTTACGATTTGCTCTAACTGCTTTTGCTTGTCTTTTTTTTATTTTTGATAAAACTCATATATTGATTTATTTTAAGCGAGCCACGCTGTAGTTTGTGAGTGTTATAAGCATAAATGATTTCCAAGTTTGACATCTGCAGTTCCTGTTAACCCTTTAACTCCCACGAGTGACGAGGGTAGAATTTCTCCTTACAATATCAATACAATATCAAGCAGACAAGTGATGAGAATAAAGAAAAATATAAATTCAGGGATTATTAGTTGATCCAATACCCAATTCTCCGAACTAGCATCGTAAGAATTGTATGGCAGACAGTAAGGAGAATTACTACTGAGATCTTGGAAGTACAAGGTTAATCTTCTTCGGGCTTAGCTCTCCTTATTTCTTCCTTGTTTGATATAATCTCTGAAAACTATTTTTTCTCCCCCAATGTGTATATTCTGTGTTTTTATCAGCAAAAGCGAGGCGAATTATCCTCGCATTGCCTTATGAGGATTTTTATGATATAATCAAGGTCCCTTTTTTACTTTTACAGTGACTCGAAGTACAACGTTGAAGTCAGCTCTGATGTCGTCTCTGTCAAGTTACCTCAGATGGAAATGGCTCCTTTAACATATCCTGTCCGCATTGCCTTTGCCAACAGACTTGTAAGTTGTTATTCGTTACTAATTTTAGCTAGGATTTGTTTAAGAAACTAACCGAAGAATGTTTAAGTTGTCTTCTCTTAAATAAGCCTGGTTTACCATGTGATTAATTCAACTGCTTGTCATGTTGGTTTATTTGTCATCTTTCCTTTCTGTTAGGTGAATCGATCGTCTTACATTTGTGTGCACTGGAATTATTCAGTACCGTGAGTATAATAATGAATAGCTTTAATTTTATGTTGTTGCATACTCTCGAATTTACCATAGAGACACTTGTTTAGTCGCGCCGCTTTCGGGCCCGTGTACTCATTTTCGTTCCGAGTTGTCGTGAGCGGGAGAACATGGTAACCTAGAAAACGCCAATCGGAGACACTACAAGAGCTGCACGTCGTCGTTATGGCAAAAACCGCTATAAAATATACTATAATCGAATATGACATGTAGAGGTACTTTTGGTTGACGTCTTTTGCCATCATTACGAAAAACATTGGCTATGCTTCAACTTCCGAACGGTTTTCCATATACAAGAGCGATACTGGCGTTTGCTAAGATGTAGCTTCTTCGCTCTTGCGATCTAAGGATCCAGACAACCATTCGTCATTTGCCCTACTGTTTCTTTGAGGATACCCACACCACAAAAAAGCTGCCCTTTAGTTTAAGAACGCTTACTTTGCATCCCAATGTGCAAGGTTAAACTTTGCATACAAAAAGACTCTTAATTCATGATTACGTCAACTAGCATTAAAGGAGTATTTCGATATTCTACATGGTAGTCTATAGTGAGACTACCGCAAAAATTCCACTACAGACACAATGAAAACAGTTATTCAGGAACCAGAAGACGCGTTGTGATTGCTAAGCCTGCCTATTGTTTTTCGTTACCATAGAGACACGCGTGGTGGTGGTTGGTCACATTACGGGTGTAAATCAGTGAAGTCCAATAGAACTCACACAGTGTGCTCTTGCACTCACCTAACGGCTTTTGCAGTCCTGTCAGACTTAAATCTTCAGGTGAGGTTGATGATTGTGAAGCTGTTACAACAAAAACCAACAGCAACAACTTTACTACCTTGTTTTCAGAAGGCATGCATTTACAATTACGATGGTTACCATAACAGCTAAATATCTAATCTGGTCGAGTACCATGATATATATTTAGAATTGAGTTGTTGGCAGTAGATTGTAAATAAGAAAGGAAAGAGAAAGAGCTGCAAGATAAAGATATATAAACCTTTAACTCCCAGACGTGATCAACATGTAACTTCTCCCTATAAGATCCATACATTATCCAGCAAACAGGTAATGAGAATATCTCAACTTATCATGGAGTAGTTTGATCTTGATCTAACACCAAATTCTCGTAACTTATTTATAAGAAAACGGTATCAGCCAGAGGGGAGAATAAACAATTAGATCCTGGGAGTCAAAGGGTCAACTTAACGATAAAGAAATTAAATTAAATTAATAAGTACCGGGTAGAAAGCTTTGAAGGATATTTTTTTCGTATGGATTATTAGTTAACCCTTTAACTCCCAGATTAAATTTGTAATTCTCCTTACTGTCAACCATACAATTCTTATAATGTTAGTTCAGAGAATTTAGTATTGGATCAACTAATTATCCCCAAATTGATCTTTTTCTTTATTCTTATCACTTATCTGGTTGATATGGTATTCATATTGTAAGGAGAAATTCTGTCCTGGTCACTCATGGGAGTTAAAGGGTTAATTTATTTTGAGGTCTGTATGAGGGTCAATGTCACTTTTTCCTTTAGAGGAGGTTGTTTCAGTTTCCAAACTATTCCAACGGGAAGGCGAATGTAAAATTGTCAATAATTAGTTCGAAAAAAAGTATTATAACTGGTAGATCTATCAGAGTCTAAATCTAGTTTTATTGAGAACATACATTGGAAAAAAAATGATCCAAATGATCCAGGGAGAAGATTGAAATAAAATTGGTTCATAAATTGAGAATCGTGAAAGAAAACTAAGTCAACTTGTTTAAGTTGTTGTTGTTGTTGTATTTTTGAGAGAGGAGGCGTGTTGTTGCAGTGTCACAAGTAATTTTCTTTTTTTTTATTTTTTATCAGTATCGCGAGCAAGCAGCCTTTGCCATGCGTTTGGTGACGTACATTGGTATATCGGTGTCCCTTGTTCTGTTACTGACAGTTTTTATACTATTCTTGTGTCTAAGGTAATTTTTATTTGATTTTCGTCATTTTACTAACCTGGCCTTCTCACAACGGTGGTAAGAAATTATGGAAATATTCCATATCATGATCTCTTCTCCCATGGACACTTCTAATACAAAATTGAACAATACAATATTGAGCCCACGCACTTCTCGTAAGCGTAGATAGCGGAACTCTTAATGTTGTGGTGTGGTGTTGTTTTCCAAAAATTCTTAAATTGGGGGCACCTGCAAAATTCCCTTTCAAAAAAATTGTAAGCTGTTAAATGCAGTCCGGTAAAAGTCCGCTGCAAAACGTTGTAGAGCATACTCTTATAGAGGATGCGCGGTATAAATGCATCATTATCAGTAACATCACTGTTTTGTTTTTACAGCAATCTGAAGAGCAACTCGATAACAATTCATAAGAACCTTATTGTGGCGGTCTTCGTCGCGGAGCTGACGTTCCTCTTGGGAAGCAACAGAACGGCAGATCAGGTTGGGTTTAATATAGGGCCTTATGTTTACAGCAGGGTGATTTAGTATTATCAACTCAATTATTATCAACTAAATTGATAACGTAATTTGGTCACCGTAAAGAGTTTCAAAGCTAGCTTTGAAAAACGACAGCGTTCACTCCATGGATACTTTTACGCACGTAAACGTCTACTTCAACTATGGTTTTTTTTTTTGAAACGCGTGTTCATTAGTGCGGGCAAAAACGCAACAGTGGAAATCCAGCTTTAGCTTTCTTTAAAACATATTAGTTTGGCTTCTGATCTTAAGACGTTGCTTTTATTTTTGTTTCATTGCAGAGATTGTGTCAGTTGATCGCCATAGTGCTGCATTATTTCTTCAGCGCCTCTTTCTCGTGGATGTTCGTCGAAGGTCTGCACATGTATCGCAGGCTCAGGGGAAAAGAGGAATATAGACACTGGCAAAAGTCCTTCTATTTCTTCATGGGGTGGGGTAAGTGGTACGAATGTTGTCCAACAGGGAATGTATGGTATCAATCCTTTGAAGTGACTAACCCTTAAATTCTCCCTCTAACATCCATACATTATCCAGCAAACAGGAAGTGAGAATACCCAAATTATCAGGTAGAAGTTGTTATCTTGATCCAACACCAAATAATTGGGACTTATTTACAAGGAAATGTAAAGCAACTGGAGGAGAGAATTAACAATCACATCGTGGGAGTAAATAGGTTAAATTTCGTGAGTTGTAAGCAGACATTTTTCGGAAAAAAAAAACGGCGGAGGGTGATGGAAGAGGAATGATTGGTACAAGAAACTTAACAAAAGTCACAAATTTTAAAATATTCACTCGCCATCATCTATTTGAAGATAATCTTACGCAATTAATGCTTTCAAATAGTACCAATCGAAAATTATTTGAAGCATAAAACACGGATTTCTATACAACGAGTGTTAAGGTTTTTACTCTGTTATTTTTTTATATTTTTTTTTGTCTCAGGATGTCCCGCTATTGTGGTCGGAATTTCCGCTGGCTTAGCGAACGAGGGCTACGGAAACCAGAGATTGTAAGTCAACTTTGTATGGTTTCTGTAGAACTTTTTACTAGTCCCCGTAAACAGTTTGTTTGTACTTGTAATATTCCCAGACCACGCAATAGATAGTGATAGTTTCCATTAATTTCGCGACATTTGACCTTTTATTATTATTATTTTTTATTATTTTTTTTCCACGATTTCAAGTTGATTTCATGGAGGCGGAATATTTGATTCACTTTCCCACTCTTGCTTTATTATTTAAAAAACCTTCAGGTTCGGAAAGAGTTCAAGAATGTGTACATGCGCTTGAAGACTGAGGACAAGACATACGGGATACAGAAACCCACGCAGCATTTTGTAAGAGGAATAATTACCCTCTTTACGTCTCTATGCTTAACTCACCCTCTTTCCTTAAATGAGACATTCCATATTCATTGATTCGTCCTCTCTAGAAAGCATGTTCTGTTTTTCACTTGCTCTTCTCCGCTGTTTGACCCCCTTTTCAAAAGATCAATTCATGGTCTACTATATCTTTACCCCTTCTCATTTTTCAGCCATTCTGTTATCCGACCCAATCTCTCCCCTGTTAGGAATATAGTATTTCTTTGAATAAGCACCCACGCTCTAAGAAGCGCCGTCCGCCGAATAAGGGCCCACCCTCAGGCGCCCCCCTCCGTGGGCCTGGATATTTTCACCCGTTCTCTCGGCAAGTTAAATATCCCTCATTTCCTCCACTGATACGAAGAAAACCGCTTTCTTTTGCCACTTTATCTATATTTTTTTTTAGCTTCAACTGCAGCGGAATCAGAAAAGGAGATCAACAAGTGCCCCCCCCCTCGATTAAGCGCCATCCTTCCAATAAGTGCACCCCCCACCCCCCTCCCCCTCCTTTGGCCGATATTTTAAATAACCGCTTGTTTGAGGAAATACTGTTTGGCAATTTTTCAATTTATACACAATTTACCACAATGTTATCCTTTCCCGTTGTCATCTTCCATTCAAGTAGGTGAGTCACTCAGGTTCCAGTTTATTATCTTGTAAATACGTTTTGAGAACAGACAGTCAGCCGGAGAGTATCATTCTGCAGTAACACAAAACTCTTCCCTCTAATTTTCAAGGAAATGCATCGTGGTAAGAGGAGAGAATTTTCAATTGGATCTTGAGGGTGAAAGGGTGAACTAACCTTTTTCTTTTCCCCTTCTTCTTTCCCACTTTTCAATTCATGCACTCTCCCTCCCCTCCCTGTTCGTATTCGCGAGACTATTCCATTTTCTCTCATTCCAATTTCTCACCCAACCTATTGATTTCACCTGTTTGACGAAAAGTTCGATTTCCGTTTTTTTTTCCTTAGAAACGCTCCTATCACCTTGGGGAGACGGCACCTCTCCGATTCCCGTATGATTTTGACGATGATGGAAACGCCACCAGCACATCTACCACGGAGCCATCCAGCAGTGGTTTCCGTAGCAGTGTAACGAGTCGGTTTACCACAGACAACAATGTCACGGATACTATGAGAGATGAAGATACCAGTGCACCAGGTGTGTGTTTGAAATGTAATTTCTCTCAAATATGCACAATACATTCTGCTCAGTCCAAGTAGTAAGAACGTGGTTTTAAATAAATTACAGTGATTTCTAGTCGGCCTCTATACCCTAGAGACCGAAGAAAAGTGCCCCCGCCAAATCCCCTTTCTTTTTCTTCAATGAAGACCAGATTTGTGCCCTACGAAGCCAAGTTTTCCTTAATTACAGTCGTCCTACAAGAAATGTTCCTTTGCAATTCAATTCGGTGGGGAGAAAAGAAGAATCACCTAGAAAGTAAAGACAAGACTTAAAACACAAAAGCAATCAGAAGCAATCTCAACCCACAATCATACATGGAGCCAGGCTAACTGGTTTAGGGCAGAAGGGGCTGGGCATTGATTGCTGTATAGTGGAATTTATAATTGCTTTTTTTCAAGGAACCAACTCCTTTGAACCATTTTAGGAATGACTTATGGCTTGCAGAAACTGTACATTCTGTTTGTTTGTTTGTTTGTTTGTTTGTGTCGTCCAAGTCTTTCATTTCGCTCAGCGAAAATACGTTGTAATGGAGTTATTCCTCATTTCTGGGAACTAATTTTTGTTTGGTTGTTCAAATTTTTAGATGGAAAATCGCGAAAGGCCAAGTACCCTGATAATCCTGAACTCGGTAAGTCGTTTACAATGCGTAAACTCAAACATTTCTATGTTTAAACTCCTTTGTAGTCAATATTTTGATGGTCACGAAACGAAGAGGAAAATAAGGGGTGATATTACTTCGTCACGCAATATTATTGTGCAACGAAACATCTGTAACACATCTTTGGTACAGTCAGTTAAAGGCTAACAGTCTTGTGAGTATATATAGAGTGGGTAGCATTATAGGCGCACTCTGATTGGCTACTCAAACTCCAAATATCCCTTGCTAATCACCTCCGAGCAACGCGCGCGCGATTTGCGCCCGGAAAGATGGTAATCGTTGCAGGAAGAAATGCGTTCGGGTTTTTACCTAATTAATTATGCAAAAAATACAGTAAAATTGACCAACTTTAATGTGCTAGTGCTGAAGGAAGATTTTTCGTAAGAAATCGGTGGTGTTTTTACTTCAAAATATAATTCATTTGATTTTTATTTGTGGCACTTTTAGGAGCTTTGGTGTAATTTTAAAATTTACATGATTTTTTAACAAAGTACTCTCAAACGCTTGTTGCAAAAAGCGAAAAATAAAGCAACTTCAAGCCTTCAAAACGCGTCTTGGTATATAAGAAATCATGTCAAATTACATGCGGGCACAAAGTTTGGTCCTTATACGAAAATAATATGAAATAAAAAATTTGGGTGATTCAGAAAAGTGCCGGCAAAATAAAAGAGTTTGCGACGCACTGTGGCCAAGATCAGGACGCAAACAACACTTTCACCTTTACCGGTAACCCTTTAACTCCCAAGATCTCATTAGTAATTCTTACTGTCTGCCATATTGTTCTTTAGAAGTTAGTTTGGGGAATTTGGTAATGGATCAAGTAATAATCCCTAATTAAATTTTTCTTATTCTCATTACTTGTCTGCTTGATATTGTATTGATATTGTATTGATATTGTATTGATATTGTATTGATATTGTATTGATATTGTAAGGAGAAATTCTGTCTTGGTCACTCATGGGAGTTAAAGGGTTAACCCCCTGTTACTATCCAGTATCCCAAGTGATCTTGTGTTGTACTTTCATGATCTCAGAGTTAGTCTTCACTTTATATTGAAAAAATTTAATACATACAAGGATAAGTAACCCTTTTTCGAAATGTTTTTTACCCAGTAAATCATTTTTTTCTTTGTTTAGAGTGGCATTATCATTGTTGACGAATGTAAACTTGCCGTGGCAGTGAATTTTGGGACCAAAGCAGCCTCCTTCTCATGTGCCGCAGCACGGCAGCTTCAAATTAAAGATGAATCGGAAAATTACAGGTACATTTTTATGTAAATGCACACCATCAACAATAGGCAGAGTGGCTGAGTACTTAGGGCACTGGCCACCTGCTTAGGGACTTGCCAAGTGCTTAGGGACTTGTCATCCGGTGGTCCCAGGTTGTAGTTCTCCACTCTGCTACTCACTGGATTTGTTTTCAGTTGCACTGTGTTCCACTCGTTGGCTTTGCTCTGTTTAAAGCCAATTTGTCTGCCTTTTACTAGTTGAGGTTCTTAAAAACTGTGTTGACGTTTATTTACTATGTTTATTTCCAATTTGTTTGAATTAATTATTTCTAAAATTTGTAAGCAAATTGAGAATAAAGAAATATATCATACGAACTGTTAATAGTGTTATTATTATTGTTATAATTAATTGTTATTATTATTGTTATTATTAATTATCATCATCATCATCAGAGCTTTAGGTATTTATTAGCGGGTCAATATATGCAACAATTTTAGTATAGTGGGTGACCTTTATTGTAAGATGTTTTTGACATGTTCTTGACCCCAAGCAGTGATTTTTTTGTCAGATTACTTATGTCAAACTGCAGTTGGAGCTCTCATTTCTGGGAGTCAAAGGGTCAACTGTAATCTTGAGGGCTAGAACTTCCTGATCAGTGCGCTTTGATCACAAGTGTACACTTTTTGCAGTACTTGACCTATACATAATTCTAGATTTCTACTTACTCTTTAAATTCACAAAATCGTTTATGGAATGTTTTCGTGTTTGTAATAAAAAGTGAACTGCAAATAGCAACACCGGGTTTTTTGTTTTGTTTTGTGTTTTTTTTTTTGCTCCTTGCATTTGACAGGCCCTCTTCTTCTCGGTGGGCTCGTGCAGCTACCAATTAAATTCCCAGTCCTCTACAAACATTTTACTGGCTGCATCAGAAATGTTTACATCAATCACGAGTTCTTGGACCTCAGTCAGCCATTGTACAACAACGACGGAACCAGTGCTAAATGTAAAGCAATGGGCAACACGTGCGCATATAAACCTTGCGGGCGAGGCACGTGTTTTAACATACTTGGTTCTCACCGGTGTGACTGTCCCACTGGGTTTGATGGAAGTCGCGGTGAAACAGGTATTGAATTTTTTTTTTTTTTTTTTTTTTTTTTTACGGATATGTAATGTTCTTCGCACTTACTATAGTTTGAAGCGTTCGGAAGAGTACGGAATCTTTTGAAATCTTTTCAAATGCTTAGTATCTAAGATGCAGACAACAGTTCATGAGTTGTGCATGATAAAGGACACCTTATGAGCATTTAAATGTATGCGGTTCCTTGTTATGAAAAATATATAGTCGAGTTTATCTGATTTAGTGGATCTTCAATTAATAAATGCACGAACTTAATCACCGGTATTTTCGCCTTGAATTATCGATCCATACCAGATTTTGACCCGACAGTTCTGAGAAAAAAACAAAAAATCAGTTTTACTGTACATCCGACGAAGATCTGCAGGTTTCAAAAACCCTGTGAACAATCCTCAGAGTTGAAAGATTCCCTTCCTTAACGTTAAGGGCCGAGTTCCTCAAATACTGTCTTCTGTTGTGTCAGCAATTTCTGTTTCTTAACCCTTTCACTGCCAAGATATCATTGGTAATTCTCCTTACTGTCTGTCATACAATTCTTATGATGTTAGTTCTGAGAATTTAGTATTGGATCAATTAATAATTCTCTAATTGATATTTTTCTTTATTCTCGTCACTTGTCTGCTTGATATTGTTTTGATATTGTAAGGAGAAATTATGTCTTGGTCATTTATGGCAGGTAAAGGTTGTTGTAACTCGGGTTAATTAATTTCCTAAACCCTTTAACTCCCTGATCAAATTTGTAATTCTCCCTACTGTCAACCATACAATTCTTACGATGTTAGTTCAGAGAATTTAGTATTGGATCAACTAATTATTCCCAAATTGATGTTTTTCTTTATTCTCATCACTTACCTGGTTGATATTGTATTAATATTGTAAGGAGAAATACTGTCTTGGTCACTCATGGGAGTTAAAGGGTTAAATTGGAGAGAAATTATCCAGGCCTCCAGTCAGCGTTGATTTTCTGGGATTCGCATTACCCTAAAATACCCCAACTAAGGAGAACGTCAATTTCTTATCACGGGTTCTTTGATGTAAACCATTCATACAAACTTCCTTGTTCAAGGTGTGAAATACACTAGGAGATTCTCAAGACGGAGTTTTAAGAGGGTGCCTGCCAACTCAAAGGTCAATCTTCTGTGGAGTGTTTCAATGAGATTCCGCACAGCTAAGCCTTCAGGAACTCTGTTTGAAATCTCTTTTTCGTCATCATCTTCGGTGCCGGAGGTAAGTTATGTAAATCAAGATACATTTTTTAAAAGCCATTGAACGTTGATATACTTACGTGAACTTCGTTTCTATTTCAGTTGGTTGATGGTAAACTGTCGTACAACTACAAAGAGTTGTTGGTTCTCCAATTGCCTCACATAGCGGTGAATGATACCCAGTGGCATCACAAGTCAGACATGAATTATCAAAAGATGTATTTGAAATGTCGTCAGAAGAATTGTAATCTATTCCATTGGTGGCGTTACAAACCCTCCAGGAAAACACAGCAAATTCTGTGTGCTGACATGGAATGACATTTTTTGTCGTAGATAGACGACATCATCTTGCACTGGCCTTATTTTAAACTGTAGAAGAAGAAGGAGTAGATGCATGGGTTGAAAAATTTTCGGACGGTAAATGGCGAAGTTACGCCTAAGAACTTATGGGTTTTAAACCTCATGAACTCGATGCCTTAGAACAAGGAGATCCTAGAGATTTTCTAACATTTATATCAATTTTAAGTAAAATGGTATAATTCGCGTTTTTCAGAGCGTAGATTTAAGGAAGGCATATCCACAGATGAAGAACTGTTCTTATTAGCTCAGGAATTAGCCAAAGAAGATCCTAAAAAAGTGGAAGAATTTTTCACGATTTTATTTCAAAAATGAATTTTGTAAATTTTTTGATTTTTTAATAGGTGAGCTTTCTGAAGAAGAGCATGCACATATTGCGCAGAGGATTGGATTATCGTTGTTTAGGAGGTTAGCTCCACGACTAGGCCTAACTAGTAGTGAACTGGAATGTTTAGAAAACGAGGTCATGTGTCTGGAGTGTTATAATGCGGATAAATAAAATGTGTGTAAATTGAAATCATGTTCTCATTTTGTTCAATCATGGGTTCTTGGTGGCGTCGTCTATATTGTTACGCTCACTACCGATTCGTATCGTGGGTATGTGTACGCATTAAGGTACTCGTGTACGAAGACGATGACGTGTATAGAATACCTTACGACTGGGTTCCTTCCCTTATGATAGAAGATGTGTATAAACATGCTATGAAACCTCATTTGTATCTTCCCCATACTCGTATTCGTCACTTGATGACTTTCATGCGATATTACGAGGGAAAGTACACATACAATGTGTGGAATCGATTGTACGCATTGTGTTTGGGAGGGTATTGGATTGGTTACTACTGTGTGAATCATTTGTTCAAATTGTTATGGCTAAAAAGAATAAGAAGACTCAATCCGATACAAAGAAGATACTCGATTACGATACACCCGGTGTCGTCGGCAGTCTAGGGAGCGTGTCTCAATATGCTCAAGCTAAAGGTATTTCACGTCCCAAAGCGAAAAAAGAATTAGAGAAGAATCTTGCCTATACGCTTCATAAACCGCGTCGTAGAAGAGGTGTGTTTCAACCTGTCGTCGTCTTTGACATTGACCAACAGTGGGTAGCTGATTTGGTGGAAGTGCAAACTCTGGCTAAACAGAATAAAGGATTCAGATACATTCTGGTCGTCATTAACGCGTTTTCCAAATACGCGTGGGCTCAACCTATTAAAAAGATGACAGGAAAAGATGTCGTGGAAGCATTTGTCAAGATCCTCAAAACTGCTCAGGGACGTAAACCTCAAACCTTACAGACAGATGCAGGAAAGGAATTTTACAATCAAGTCTTTCAGACTCTGATGAAACAGCAGAACATTCATCATTTTTCCACCCACGGAGATGCCAAAGACAGTATTGTCGAATGATTTAATAGAAGTGTGAAATCTAAAATGTACAAATATTTTACAGCGGCTAATACCTTAAAGTATGTAGACAACTTACCGAAACTCGTGTATCAATATAATCACGTATCATAGAAGTATTCGCATGACTCCCGCCAAAGTCACTATGTTCAATCCCAAAGAAGTTTGGGACAATTTGTACGGCAAGTATGTGAATCTCAAGAAAAAAACCTCCTGCCTTTAAAGTGGGGGATAAAGTGAGATTGAATAAAAAATTTAGAACTTTCAAAAAAGGATACTTACCCGGTTGGACTGAAGAGGTGTTTGTGGTACGCAAAGTCTTACCGGTTATGACTACCACCAATAAAATGGAAGAATTCGACGACACACCTTTGCAGGGTACGTTTTACGCCTGGGATTTACAAAAACTACAATTGGACGAATCCTCGTATTTTAGAGTGGAGAAAGTCTTGAAACGACAAAAAGATAAATTGTACGTCAAGTGGAAAGGATATCCCGCTAAATATAACAGTTGGATCCATAAAAAAGATTTAAAGTGACGTGTGTACTCGTACTTGACACACCATCATGAGAGGAGGTAGTTTGAAACGTTTCAAAGCAAGTGGGGATCCGAATCAAACGGGAGGTGGTATTTTTCGTTGGAGTTCGCCACCCCCGTTCTACGAACCAGGTGTACCAGGCGACATTCCACCACAAGTAGGAAGTGGTATGAGACAAGATTTTTTAAAGGTAGTGAAGAAAGAATTTAAAAGTGGATTGAAGAAGCGATCCTTGTCAGAAGTGGGACGTGGAGCGAAGAGAGGTGCTTCTATAGCACTCAAGAACGAAGTGAAACGAAAAATCAGGAGAAAGTTGAACGATATCTTTGGAGCCTAAAAAATGACTCGTATCAGTACCATACGTAGTAGTGCCACTATCATTGGGGTGGGTACAGGATATTCGAATGATCCTGTGACTCCTATTTTAAAAAAGTATAAAGGAAGACAAAGGTATCATCGTCAGCAAGGCGGTGGGTTTCTGAGGAAGAGAAGACCATTTAAGAACCGTTCTACTCGCAGAAGCACCCATAAACGATGGAGACGTTGAAGTAAACACATCATCTGTAGCGAGATGGCCGCGAAAACAAGCCGCTATCAATCCTAATCTCAACCTATTCACGATTCCACCTACGGATCTTTCTACTGCTAGTTACAGGTACGTCAAAGTACCACCTCAGACAGCGAGTATTACTCCGATTCACGTTTACATAGAAAGACAATCGGACTACATTGATCTGAAGCGGAGTTTTGTGGAATTGAATTTGGGATTCAAGACGACGGGAAATGTCAATCTCACTTCACGCAATGACACTGTGAATCGCATGACAACTCCAGCCAATAACCTGGCGCAAACACTCTTCAAACAAGTCAATTTCCGAGCTAATGGCACCCTTCTCACAGGACAAGAGGACATGTACCATCTCAAAGCCTACATACAGACGGTGTTGAATTACGACAGAGATGACGGAGAGACCATCCTTCAACCCACAGGTTGGAGGAATGAAATCGATTTGCCCGTGACGATCGGCAAAAAAAGCTTACCCCGAGAACCAAGTAAAATACCAATAACGACTTCCACGTTTAACTGCATGAAATTGTCCATAATTCTGATTGCCCGATTGCCTGATTGTCTGTTTACTTGTATGATTAGCTATTTGTAGATTTTGTGGCTGGTAACGAGTACTTTACTTTGTTTTGGTGGACCTCATTTGAAAACCGTTTTAATATCCTTACGTAAAGATCATTTAGTTCCCAGACCAGGGGAGTAAATATAGCAGAATCCAAAAGATGGTTTCATACCTGTCAAGCTGATCGGTCAATATTTTCCAAGTTTCAGATGCCGGGGAACATTTTTGCAGGTTTGCTCTGTTAATGAACAGTTTGAAAAATTCAGAAGACAAGTATCAGAGAAAGTCAGGACAAATGACAGAAAGTGATGGACCAAAAAGTAAGACATTTACTGTAAAATTCAGAAACGACAATTTGGATAAACATTGTATAAAAACGAGATCCCCATGCTTCTCCATACCTTACACAGAAAAACTGCCTCAACTTGTCCGGATAATCATCTGGTGATGAGCCTTCAAAGAAGGAAACGTAAAATCATAAAAGAACTTGTAACTGTTTAAGTAACTTTCGTTAACCTTTCTGAACTTCAGTTGTGGTACTCTAATTTCCTCTTAAGCACTTCAAAAAATTTATCAAACTAGAATCAAAAGTTAAGGAGGGCAAAATACAATGGAAGTCATTCATTTCTCATGATTATTTTTGGTCGTTAAAGGTGAACCATTCCAAATAAGATCACAGCCGACCGAGTCGCAAAATAAAAAAGACTGGTTTGAGGTCAATAACAACTAGGCATTCCGCGCGAAATTTGATAATAGCCTGGGACTTAGCGCGTGTTGTGTTGGAACTCGCCATGTGACTAATCGTCGTAAATATAGTTTACACACAGGAATTACATCTGATCTTCGCACAGTCAACAAAATCACTTGCAGTAATATCAGAGTAATTATGCCGAGAAAAGCGAGATCACTTTCGAAGAGGAAGACCATGTAATCCTTTATCATTATATCTTTCGGATCAAAAATGGCGGGCTTTTCAATCTTCGAAACTCTACACGTTGTGGATTCGTTGTAGTAAACTGTCTATTTGTTTTGGCTGCATTGGATAGCACCTCTGAACTCAGTAATCCTTTGGATACTTGGCGAAAGGAAGATCAGGATAATGTATCACCCGTTAAAACACTACAAAGGTTGGTGAAGTGTAATAGTAGTAGTATTTTTGGTAAAATTTCCGCACAGCCCCCTACTATCGCAAAACAAATCTGTTTCCCCAATGGCAATGTGTTGTTTTTGTCATTGTTTTCTCTATCCAACCAAAACTGTTGTTGAATTGGCATGTGGCTGTAATTACACACCAAAAAAAAATCCTTTTCCTCTCTCAGAACGAATAAAACATAGCATGGAAACGCACTGTTCAGAAATGATGAATTTATGGACAAACTACTGAACTCCTACATCATGAGCACTGTGGAACAGTTTGATCTGAACTGCACTGCAGCCAGAGTGTTGTTAAATGCCATGCCTGGGCTGGAAAGTGCTGCAGTTTTTCAGGATATGGTAAGTTTAGCAAGGTATTCTAAATCCTTCAACTCCCAAGATCTGATTTAAATTCTCTCCTCTAGCTGCTACACATTTCCTTGTAAATTAGTTATGAGAATTTGGTGTTTCACACTTTTCACACTTTTATTTTTTTATTTTCTTACATATTTACAAGATATTAGATCAAGATGACAACTTCTTCCTGATAAGTCTGACTATTCTCATTACCTTTTTGCTGGATAATGTATGAATATTATAGGGAGAAGTTACTTGTTAATCACTTCTGGGAGTTAAAGTGTTAATAATCTTAAGATGTGACATTTTTTTGTCAGCTTGAGTTCCATGTTAAAGTCCAGAAATTGTGTCCAGTTTCTGTGGCATGGCACTCCCTTCCTTTTTTAGAAAAAAATAAATACTTAATATTAACTCACACAATTTCTACTTCATCAAATTATGGATGAAAAAAAAAAATGAATTTCTTTTAGTTACATTATGAAAAAGAAAAAGAAAAAAAAAAGAGATTTTATTTGTTGCTCTCAGTCACCTCACTTCAGTGGAAAAAACTTTTAAAAAAATGCAAACTTTTCAGATTCACTTTCATTTTTCCTTAATTAATAAATACATATTTCTTTAATAGAGTAAGAGAGATGGTAAGTTTTGAGCTTGGTAAAGAAATAGAGAAAGATGTTTTTTGTCTTGTCACAACAAAGAAAAAATTCTGATCTGAGTCCCCACGTTGAATCAAACCTTAGATCTTGGGATTCTGGGGTCTGATGCTCTATCAGTGAGCCACAGAGACTCTATGGTGAGTGAGGTTTATTACAAAGTTCAGTGACACTTGTCCTGCATACTGCTAGGATCAGCAATGTTGTTAGCATCATGTTTGTAAACAGAATATGACTCAGAATTTTTTCTTTGTCCTACACACGTGACAAGATGAAAAACATCTTTCTTTATTTCTTTACTGAGTTCAAAACTTACCATCTCTCATTCTATTTATAAACATGATGCTATGCAGGACACTATGCAGGATGCATGTCATATGAACTTTGTAATAGACCTCACTCACTGTGGAGTCTCTCTGGCTCAGTGGTAGAGCATTGGAGTGCGGAATCTGAAGGTCTGAGGTTCAATTCCTCATGGGGACTCAGAATTCTTTTCTTGTCCCACACTTGTGATGAGACAATAAACATCTTTCTCTACATATTTCCTATCAACAAATTTGATGTCAATCATGTACATGTAGGAAGCAATGCTTAATCAATTATGCAAGTGGGCCAGAGAAGCCTTGGAACCCCTAAGATCATATGCTACAGGTATTTATATCATAGTTTACTGGTCTTACTTTACACAGTACTTCAGGCTTTGAACATTTTGGTCACCATACCTGAAAAAGAGAAAAAAGAAAATTTAGTTGACAAAATATTTGCATCAAGTGGCCTCTTGGGGAAATGAGATTTATCTAATTCTTGTACAGCTTCAGCTTCTGAATTAACTCAATTTTGTGTACATGTTTATTAACTGAGTGTAAATAGAAGGTTGTTTTAGTTAGGTGATCCAAGGTAGTGTACAAGGTTAAGATATAGATAGTCATGGTTTCATTGAGGATTCTAATATTCCTTTTTGTTCATTTTTAATGTGTATTGCTGCAGTTGCATATTTAATTTGTTTTTAATTTCAAGTATCAAATAATAGAAACTTTGATAATTATTTTATTAACAGGTCTTTTAGCATTTGCCATGGAGAGCCAGGATATTGCTGCAGTATTCAGAGAAGAAAACTCTACCTTGGTAAGTCAGTATAGCAACTTTAAAGAGTGACCAGCATCTAATTTCTCCTTACAATATCTCCCCTGAATCAA